GCCCTAGTTAGACTCCGGTATTGACCCTCAGGTCTCCACTGACTGACACCAGTAAACCCACACATACACCCACCCGCCCCTTTCCAGTTTAGAGAATTATGCGGTAAAATAACACAGCGAATCGCAAGGGCAAGACGAAGTGAGTGGGGAATTCAAAAATTCCTTTTCCTTGCGTTAACACTAAATTGAATTATGTCACGCCCGTTGTCAGGATACGGGACCTCCCACAATGCCTTGTGCCGGGCGGGGGATCAGTTGAACACAAGATACGTCCAATATGTTCATGACACCATTTCGCTTTAAACTCTTTTATATTTCAGAAAAGTTGAGACCTTGACACCTTCCGTTTCTCAGCTCTTGCAACGTATAGAATATACTCAGCTCTTCTCAACTCTTGCAACATGTACAATATACTCACCCTTCTCAGCTCTTGCAACATATACAATATACTCACCCTTCTCAGCTCTTGCAACATATACAATATACTCAGCCCTTCTCAGCTCTTGCAACATGTACAATATACTTAGCCCTTCTCAGCTCTTTCAACATGTGCAACAATGACTAAGTATAAATGCAATATACTTAGCCCTGCTCAGCTCTTGCAACATATACAATATACTCAGCCCTTCTCAGCTCTTGCAACATATAAAATATACTTAGCCCTGCTCAGCTCTTGCAACATATACAATATACTCAGCCCTTCTCAGCTCTTGCAACATATATAATATACTCAGCCCTTCTCAGCTCTTGCAACATATACAATATACTAAGCCCTTCTCAGCTCTTGCAACATATACAATATACTAAGCCCTTCTCAGCTCTTGCAACATATACAATATACTTAGCCCTTCTCAGCTCTTGCAACATATACAATATACTAAGCCCTTCTCAGCTCTTGCAACATATACAATATACTAAGCCCTTCTCAGCTCTTTGCAACATATACTTAGCCCTTCTCAGCAATATATATACAATATACTGCCCTTCTCAGCTCTTGCAACATATACAATATACTTAGCCCTTTCTCAGCATTGCACACATATACTCAGCCCTTCTCAGCTCTTGCAACATGTACAATATACTCAGCCCTTCTCAGCTCTTGCAACTCTTATAGCACTCTAGGTACCCAACTCTGATCCAACTCGGCGTAACGAGTTATCTGTACGGCCTCGAAAAGAAATAGACGTACAGCCGCACCTGTTGCTGCTCAAACATTAATAAAATAATAATGACATTTATTACAATAATATACACCATTATTATACAACACTGTAGTAACTATGGTTATTTAATAACTATGAAAAATGGAAACCCCAGATAGAAATTATTATTGCAATAATAAAATCCAATTTCAAGGATATAACAACACCAAAAGCACCAAATAATGGTGTGGGACGACAATATTGCTGGTACACGTTGCAACAAGAACGACATTAACACCATGTATGGTAATGATTGTTGTAATTATTATTGTCTTGTTGCATGCATCTATAATTGTTGTCTTTACGCAGTTCATGCTTCAACCATTCTGTTATGAGTATCGTACATTAACCAGCATATTACATCTCCATTACATTAGCCAAACATACAGGAACCAATCGCTACAAAAGAGTCCGTCTGGAAGTGACGTCACAACTTTATTTATCTAATAACAATTTAACGCGTAATATATATCGCTTATGTGAGAACATTTATTGGTTGTCTTTTTTGGCATCGTTCCATTCAGGTGGGGCCTAGATTGTGGTTAAGTTGGTACATGGGTCCGAGATAATCTTCGACCATCCAGGGTATTATGTCTTCAGTAAGACAATACACTGGATGGTCGAAGATAGAACCATTCATGTCATACATCTTTCCAATTCCGTAATTCCTAGTTCCTACAGCGAGGGGTCTTCCGCCATCAACACAAATGTCAGCACACTTGGAAAACATTGCATGCTCTTTTACGGGGATTGAACATCGTGATTTTATTTGGCCAACGAGAAAATGGCTCTGGTCAACACATTCCCAGAACAAGCTTAACACATCTCGCCAATATCTAAACCAGAATCTCAGTCTTCAAATTTCAAGCGTAATGGTTTGACAGAGCTGACTGCTGGGCGAAGTGGGGCGGAGGAGGGTGAATGGTTCTAATCAGACAATGATTCAGCCCTGGGCGAGATGCACACTCACCCAAATCCTGGGAGAAACGTGCACTTTTCAAAGTTAAATGTCAAAATGTCAGTTTCAGAGAGATATCGAATTTCCAAATTGTAACCCGTTGTAAATATATTCATCTGAGGAATGAAACGCTGGATGAAAATGCAGATTTGATATGTTCCCTCCCAAGCGTGTTAGATTTGATCTTAATTATTGTGTTTAATTGTATCAAGGGTGCCGTTATCTGCGACATAATTACTGAATACTGACATATTTACCGCTGCTGTAGTCGCTTTGGGACGCCAAGCGAGCAAGGAAGGCACGCCCGACAGGCGATAACGGTTGCCTCCCGTGACTGTACGGTCAGGTCTACAGTGGCAGTTTTACAGCCGAGAAACGGGAAAGAACACTGAAATCGATGATTACCTTCTTGTAGCCTTCCGTTTGACAAAGTCCGCGGGCGCCGTGAACCTTCTAAGATTTCATAAAATGTCAGTGTCATGAACGCTTCACAACCCAAGTGTCACACACACACAAGACAGCTCCATATAATCCTTTCTTGCAAGAATAAAAATGTGATAACGATATTCCATCTGATACATGATACTGTCGCCTATCATATATGATATTATAGTCGTGCGTACACCGTTCATTGTGTTGTAAGTTAGTTGACACAAACTCTATTGAGAATGTTGACTCATCTGTGTATCACCTATACTTATATTGTATAGTAGAGAATGACATCACCTATACTGTATTAGTGAACACTGAGAATGTTGACTCATCTGTGTATCACCTATACTTATATTGTATTAGTGACACACTCTGAGAATGTTGACTCATCTGTGTATCACCTATACTTATATTGTATTAGTGACACACTCTGAGAATGTTGACTCATCTGTGTATCACCTATACTTATATTGTATTAGTGACACACTCTGAGAATGTTGACTCATCTGTGTATCACCTATACTTATATTGTATTAGTGACACACTCTGAGAATGTTGACTCATCTGTGTATCACCTATACTTATATTGTATTAGTGACACACTCTCTGAGAATGTTGACTCATCTGTGTATCACCTATACTTATATTGTATTAGTGACACACTCTGAGAATGTTGACTCATCTGTGTATCACCTATACTTATATTGTATTAGTGACACACTCTGAGAATGTTGACTCATCTGTGTATCACCTATACTTATATTGTATTAGTGACACACTCTGAGAATGTTGACTCATCTGTGTATCACCTATACTTATATTGTATTAGTGACACACTCTGAGAATGTTGACTCATCTGTGTATCACCTATACTTATATTGTATTAGTGACACACTCTGAGAATGTTGACTCATCTGTGTATCACCTATACTTATATTGTATTAGTGACACACTCTGAGAATGTTGACTCATCTGTGTATCACCTATACTTATATTGTATTAGTGACACACTCTGAGAATGTTGACTCATCTGTGTATCACCTATACTTATATTGTATTAGTGACACACTCTGAGAATGTTGACTCATCTGTGTATCACCTATACTTATATTGTATTAGTGACACACTCTGAGAATGTTGACTCATCTGTGTATCACCTATACTTATATTGTATTAGTGACACACTCTGAGAATGTTGACTCATCTGTGTATCACCTATACTTATATTGTATTAGTGACACACTCTGAGAATGTTGACTCATCTGTGTATCACCTATACTTATATTGTATTAGTGACACACTCTGAGAATGTTGACTCATCTGTGTATCACCTATACTTATATTGTATTAGTGACACACTATACTGATTAGAATGAGAATGTTGACTCATCTGTGTATCACCTATCACTTATATTATATTGTATTAGTGACACACTCTGAGAATGTTGACTCATCTGTGTATCACCTATACTTATATTGTATTAGTGACACACTCTGAGAATGTTGACTCATCTGTGTATCACCTATACTTATATTGTATTAGTGACACACTCATCTGTGAGAATGTTGACTCATCTGTGTATCACCTATACTTATATTGTATTAGTGACACACTCTGAGAATGTTGACTCATCTGTGTATCACCTAGAATATTGTATTAGTGACACACTCTGAGAATGTTGACTCATCTGTATCACCATTATACTTATATTGTGATTAGTGACACACACTGGAGAATGTTGACTCATCTGTGTATCACCTATGACTTATATTGTACAATACTAATGGACACACTCTGAGGGACAAGTGCCGGGAATTATAATGTTATGGAAACACGGAGATGGGAGTTAACGGTGTCAACGTATATCGTTTTTAAAAAGTAACCCCCAAATAATGTGTGATGCGCGCTATCTGGATGGGATAGAAACGTTGTAATTCCATACCGTACCGCGCCACCCCCTCATGGCACGACGCGCGTGTAGTGTGACCCCCCTTGGTCTAACGGGTTTCACAGCAACGAGCGCGTGCCAGACGTTGGGTTTGTGTGTGTATCATGTATATCGTGATAAATATTCTTCCCCGTTCCGACCTAACCCTCCACTCCAAACCAGATCCCCCATCTTCACACAGCTGAACGCCAGACTACACAGAGAGAACCTTGTACTTTTGTGGCTGTTGATGTTAGGAATCTTATATGGAATACAAATAAACATTGTGTTTATTCAATTGTTGCCATTTATACTTTTTCTCTGAGACTCAACCCGCCGTACTGGTAATGTGACCCTGCGACATTTTCGCGTTGAAGAGGACGGAATCACAGCACTCAGAGGTCTCCTTAATGACACCCTCATGACCCCCAGGGACAAGAGACACCCTCATGATCCCCAGGGACAAGAGACACCCTCATAATGCAGACATCATTGACCCTGATCATGCCGCAAGACAGATCTCCCCTACCAAATGCTCGAGTTCTTGTAGGGAGACCAGGGAAAGACAGATCTCCCGGACCTAATGCTGGTGTTCTAGTACGGAGACCAGGGAAAGACAGATCTCCCGGACCTAATGCTCGTGTTCTTGTAAGGAGACCAGGGAAAGAGATATCTCCCGTACCTAATGCTCGTGTCCTTGTAGGGAGACCAGGGAAAGACAGATCTCCCGGACCAAATGCTGGTGTCCTTGTAAGGAGACCAGGGAAAGACAGATCTCTCGGACCTAATGCTCGTGTCCTTGTAGGGAGACCAGGGAAAGACAGATCTCCCGTACCTAATGCTCGTGTTCTTGTAGGGACACCAGGGAAAGACAGATCTCCCGGACCTAATGCTGGTGTTCTTGTAGGGAGACCAGGGAAAGACAGATCTCCCGGACCTAATGCTCGTGTTCTTGTAGGGAGACCAGGGAAAGACAGATCTCCCGTACCTAATGCTCGTGTCCTTTTAGGGAGACCAGGGAAAGACAGATCTCCCGGACCTAATGCTGGTGTTCTAGTAGGGAGACCAGGGAAAGACAGATCTCCCGTACCTAATGCTCGTGTTCTTGTAGGGACACCAGGGAAAGACAGATCACCCGGACCAAATGCTGGTGTCCTTGTAAGGAGACTAGGGAAAGACAGATCTCCCGGACCTAATGCTCGTGTTCTTGTAGGGAGACCAGGGAAAGACAGATCTCTCGGACCTAATGCTCGTGTCCTTGTAGGGAGACCAGGGAAAGACAGATCTCCCGTACCTAATGCTCGTGTTCTTGTAGGGAGACCAGGGAAAGACAGATCTTCCGTACCTAATGCTCGTGTTCTTGTAGGGAGACCAGGGAAAGACAGATCTCCCGTACCTAATGCTCGTGTTCTTGTAGGGAGACCAGGGAAAGACAGATCTCCCGTACCAAATGCTCGTGTTCTTGCAGGGACACCCGGGAAAGACAGATCTCTCGGACCTAATGCTGGTGTCCTTGTAGGGAGACCAGGGAAAGACAGATCTCCCGTACCAAATGCTGGAGTTCTTGTAGGGAGACCAGGGAAAGACAGATCTACCGTACCAAATGCTGGAGTTCTTGTAGGGAGACCAGAGAAAGACAGATCTCCCGGACCTAATGCTCGTGTTCTTGCAGGGACACCAGGAAAAGACAGATCTCCCGTACCTAATGCTGGTGTTCTTGTAGGGAGACCAGGGAAAGACAGATCTCCCGTACCTAATGCTCGTGTTCTTGCAGGGAACCCGGGAAAGACAGATCTCCCGTACCTAATGCTGGTGTCCTTGTAGGGAGACCAGGGAAAGACAGATCTCCCCTACCAAATGCTCGTGTTCTTGTAAGGAGACCAGGGAAAGAGAGATCTCCCGTACCTAATGCTCGTGTTCTTGTAGGGAGACCAGGGAAAGACAGATCTCCCGGACCTAATGCTGGTGTTCTTGTAGGGAGACCAGGAAAAGACAGATCTCCCGTACCTAATGCTCGTGTTCTTGCAGGGAGACCAGGGAAGACAGATCTCCCGGACCTAATGCTCGTGTTCTTGTAGGGACACCTGGGAAACACATATCTCCCGTACCTAATGCTGGTGTCCTTGTAGGGAGACCAGGGAAAGACAGATCTCCCGGACCTAATGCTCGTGTTCTTGTAGGGACACCAGGAAAAGACAGATCTCCCGTACCTAATGCTGGTGTTCTTGTAGGGAGACCAGGGAAAGACAGATCTCCCGGACCTAATGCTGGTGTTCTTGTAGGGACACCAGGAAAAGACAGATCTGCCGTACCTAATGCTGGTGTTCTTGTAGGGACACCTGGGAAACACATATCTCCCGTACCTAATGCTGGTGTTCTTGTAGGGAGACCAGGGAAAGACAGATCTCCCGGACCTAATGCTCGTGTTCTTGTAGGGACACCAGGAAAAGACAGATCTCCCGTACCTAATGCTGGTGTTCTTGTAGGGAGACCAGGGAAAGACAGATCTCTCGGACCTAATGCTCGTGTTCTTGTAGGGACACCAGGAAAAGACAGATCTCCCCTACCAAATGCTCGTGTTCTTGTAAGGAGACCAGGGAAAGACAGATCTGCCGGACCTAATGCTCGTGTTCTTGTAAGGAGACCAGGGAAAGACAGATCTGCCGTACCTAATGCTCGTGTTCTTGTAGGGACACCAGGGAAAGACAGATCTGCCCTACCTTATGCTCGTGTTCTTGTAGGGAGACCAGGAAAAGACAGATCTCCCGTACCAAATGCTAGTGTTCTTGCAGGGACACCCGGGAAAGACAGATCTCCCGTACGAAATGCTCGTGTTCTTGTAAGGAGACCAGGGAAAGAGAGATCTCCCGGACCTAATGCTCGTGTTCTTGTAGGGACACCAGGGAAAGACAGATCTCCCGTACCTTATGCTCGTGTTCTTGCAGGGACACCAGGGAAAGACAGATCTCCCGTACCTAATGCTCGTGTTCTTATAGGGACACCAGAGAAAGACAGATCTCCCGTACCTAATGCTGGTGTTCTTGTAGGGAAACCAGGAAAAGACAGACTTCCTGCACCAAATACTCGTGTTCTTGTGGGAAGCACCCTACGCTTGTCGTAAACAATGTCCGTGTGACCTGGATAGTTGTGTCATCGTGCTCCAGGGATCGGGATCGTTACTGTTACTTACAGTCACTGGTTTGCCAGACTCCATTATTTACGGACCTCAGTGTAATAACTCGGATAGCGTGGAAACAACACTCCTACATTAACACATCTATAACACAACAAACACTCCCTCAGCAAGGATCATGTTTGGTGACAACGCATTCTGTTCACGCTATAACCAAACCTTTCAATTAAGAACCAGCTCCGACATTGTGTGAGATCATTTGAGTTTGGCGGTGCAGGCATGGGGTACAGGCACAAACAACAATAGAATTGTGTCGTTAATTGTATTAAAAGCTGTTTGTCTCCAAGCAGTAGAACACACTCTCATCTAATAACAGGAATGGCTAGTCCCCATCCCTAGGCGGGATGTATTGTAAATCGGTTAGTCCACTGGAAGGTGCAGTTGCCAATGTCGGCAACACTCAGTCGTAGGCTGGAGTGTATATCCCGTCCTGCTGTTCATGGGGTAGGGTGGTAGTGAAGCTATAATTCTATCAGGGATATGCAGTCACAGTCTTTAAAGTTTATACAAAATACTGATTAATCGAGATTAATAATTTCGAACCATTGTAAACCCTGATTCAGTATGTCATCGTTCCAGGATATCCCACGTGTGTCCAGGACGGTGGAAGTAGTCCCAGCTTGCTTCAGTCTCGGGGGGAAAAGAGTGAACGTCAAAATCGTATATCGTAAAGGTCACACTCAGTCCTGATCCCGCTCATGACTTCCAGTATATTTCTCCTTTAATAAGACGCAGTTTCTGTGTTAATATGGTGTCACCGACATAGTGAAAATTCGTTACTCCTGACCTCGACAATCTGGACACCTCACAATCCGGGCAAGTACTGTCCTGAAACTGTGACACGTTCGAATGGACAGGGACATTTTTCCATACCCACTGTTCGTTAATCCATAAGTATGGCAATATTGTTGATTCCATTTGGAACGATTCCTTCCGGATTGGTGGGGGTTCTCTGTAGTAACTGATGAAATGGTAAGACCTATCTCAGATCTAGTCAACATCAATCAGTTACAAGCTGAGATATTCAATTACGTTGATTAATAAGCCTTATCCACTACGGGTAGTATAGTTTACCCATGATTGGTAAGGACTGTGGTGCCGCGTGGCACTGCTAAAATCCTGACAATGTGTCGAGTGAGTCCCTGGATACTCGTCACGTGTGTGTGGAGTCCGGGTTGGTAGCGCGCTACACCTCACCATGATGGACGCATTGGGCGGACAAGTAGCTCCCTCGGTTGTCTCATCCTCCTCTCAGAACGCTCATCAACAACACACAATTCATTCTGAGTTATGGAATCACACTGTCCTATTAGCGCCAGTAGATAGCCCCAACGCGGTACATGTCACGAGTTATATATTACCAGGGGACAATCTGTCAGCCACTTCAGGTCGGTAACATATGTTCTAGTCGCTCTTTAAGTGAGTAAGTGAGTATGGTTTTAAGCCGCTTTTAGCAATATTCCAGCAATATCACGGCGGGGGACACCAGAAATGGGCTTCACACAATATATCCATGTGGGGATTTGAACCCGGGTCTTCGGCGTGACGAGCGAATGATTTAACCACTAGGCTACCCCACCGCCCATTACTAGAAGGCCATATGGCGTGTATCTTATCAAAATAAACAACCCCTCAGCAAGATTCTCAATTCTAGCTGCCTAATGATCGAGCGTTAGCTTTTACCGTACAGTTAGGTATAGGACACCTGCAACCAGGATCCTCTGAAAGTGGGTTCGAATCCCATACTCGCTTTGATATATGATCCTTGGTTTTGCACAAACCTGCTCGTGGGTTTCCTTCATCACGTCCCGCTTCCCGTCCGTCTCAGGCTGTGATATCAATGAAAACTTGTTCAAATTCGGTCTCAAACCCAACTCACTCACTCCCTGTAGAGGTCACGTCTCCTTACCCGCCGGCTACTGGTTGTTATATTACATGGGGCCATGGTAGGAACATCGCCTACTCATTACGCAAGTTTCACAGAACAACATACACCTCATCACATAAGACTTAGTGCCACAGACCTCGACATGAATCTTGTTAATCATTCATTCCAACGTTCTGTAAGGTTTTCTGAAGCTGATTATGTCCGTTTCCTAATGATGGAAAACATATGTCGATAACTCCAGGTCTTAGATTGTCTCCTAGATTCTAAACGGGGTCTCACTGACTTCACAGGCAGCCTGGACAAGAAGTCCTCCCTGACCCGGAAGTGACTCCCTACCTGACCCGGAAATGACTCCAACCACTCCGCGGCTGAAATCCCTCGGACATACTGTAGGCAACATCAACAACGACAGTCAGCATAGCGGAGACAGTTTCCGGTCATTGGTGTAGTCACGATGATGACCAACCTTTCTGTAAATAAAACCACGCTGATGTGACAGATGTACTGGGAGGTTGGAGGGCAACAGACGCCAGACTGAAGCCTAGAACAAACAAGTCATGATGGGCTATTACACCGTAACGAGAGGATGGCAAGGTACTTAGTCCTCGACCACTCCTGAACACACTGGGTAGTTAATTACTTATCATCGCACTTGGAACACGATATTGTGATAGACGCCAGCTATCATCACTAGGATGGTTATCTGCTTCATCAGGATCACGATCATCATCATCTGTTAATGCAGCAGTGAGAGGCCGATTTATTTGGAGCTTTATTTCCGTAATGTCAGATCAAAATGGATTCAAATGTTGTCGAGTTTACCACTGGGGCAAAGACAAGTCGGCACGGATATGGTATCTGAGTGAGTGAGTGAGTTTAGTTTTAGCACTATTCCAGCAATATCACGGCTGGGGACACCAGAAATAGGCTTCACACATTGTACCCATGTGGGGAATCGAACCCGGGTCTTCGGCGTGACGAGCCACCGTGCTTTAACCACTAGGCTACCCCACCGCCCATATGGTATCTAAACCCACAAATAGCGGATCCTAGCAGCTAAGGGAGAGTACTGAACGGATGAGTGTTTATTTTAGCGATCGGGTGTGTGAATGTATGTGTGTGTTTGTGAAGGCGGCACCCAAGTCTACGTGTACCTGATGGTACAGTTGTACGCTAGTCCAAGTATTCGGCTCATGACATTTCATGTTGAAAAAACAAAGCTCGAATTTTCCTTTCACTACTTCTGGCGTTGATGTCGATGATGACGTTATTCCTGCCCACGAAGCACGTGTTGTAGAGACATGTGGGGGATGTGCCGCAATACTCCTCCAGGTTACAGAGACGACTTCCGGAAACACGGAATGCTGGATGTAAACCAATACTGGAGGGTGTGGCTCTGGCATTACACGAAGGAGGGGTGGGGCAGGCTGTCTGGGGGCCACATGTTTGGTAAGAAACACATCCATCTCTCACTGCCATACAGCACTGTGTGTACAGGCCTGATCGTACTGGCTTCCTGTAGACCGTCTGTGGGATTAACTGGTTTCATATACAATACATGAATAGGTGAGGGAGGGGCGGTGTGAATAGGTGTGTGAGTGTGTGAGTAGGTGTGGGTGTGGGTGTGAATGTGTGAGTAGGTGTGGGTGTGGGTGTAGGGTGTGGGGTGTAGGGTGTAGGGTGTGGGTGTGGGTGTGGGTGTGGGTGTGGGTGTGGGTGTAGGGTGTGGGTGTGGGTGTGGGAGTGGGTGTTGGGTGTGGATGTAGGGTGTGGGTGTGGGTGTAGGAGTGGGTGTAGGTGTAGGTGTAGGTGTAGGTGTAGGGTGTGGGTGTACGGTGTGGGTGTGGGTGTGGGTGTGGGTGTAAGGTGTGGGTGTAAGGTGTGGATGTGGCAGTGGGTATGGGTGTAGGGTGTGGGTATGGGTGTGGGTGTGGGTATGGGTGTAGGTATGGGTGTGTGGTGTGGGGGTAGAGTGTGGGGGTAGGGTGTGGGTGTAGGGTGTGGGTGTAGGGTGTAGGGTGTGGGTGTAGGGTGTGGGTGTGGGTATGGGTGTGGGGTGTGGGTGTAGGTGTAGGGTTTGGGTGTGGGTGTGGGGTGTGGGTGTAGGTGTAGGGTTTGGGTGTGGGTGTGGGTGTGGGCTGTGGGTGTAGGGTGTAGGGTGTAGGGTGTAGGGTGTGGGTGTGGGTGTGGGTGTAGGGTGTAGGGTGATGCATACCTTGACCTACACTCGGGTAGAACCTGCATCGAAGCCAGAGTAAAATACCCTACTCCCACTAAAAAATCCAAACCAAACCAACAAATATCTTCTCATTGATAGCAGCATTAGCGGTAGACAGGGTGCTGCAGGGTTATCCGATACTGTTCCGTGTTCACTTCCGGGTGAAATGCATAATATGACGGCATGTAGGTCTGATGTTGCTGCTGTGGCCGTCACGTCGTCCCACGACGTCTCTCCAGATTCGTGATGTGGATCACTGGATTGTTAGGTCGAGACTTCATTATTAACAAACCGCCATCATATATAGATGGAATGTTGCTGAATATTTGTTACACAACAAACAAACAAACAAAAACACCAAAAACTAAAGTCTTCCTCCCCGTGTCCCCGGGATGCCAGTATATTGTACTCCTCATTATACTGATTGATACAGAGTGTTGTCAATTCGCCTACTGTCTTGTTGGAATGTCCGGTTAGATGTTGTACCCGCATGTATGGGGCGATTTGAATCGAGTGGACAGTCTCCGTACAGGGATCGCTTGGACAGTGGGATCCAGACAGGAGAACCTGCGGGCCGCTGACCAAAACATGTATACATGAAAAGAGACAAAACACCCAAAGCGTCTACTCTTTACAGGATCCGCTAAGCAGAGTTCGAATCTTAGCCCGACTTAGACAGGTGTCATCAATGTGTGGGAAATGATTTTAGCAATTGATCCTTTATTCATTATGTACATTCACATTGACGGACATTTTCCATACGGCTTGCATCTGGCCATTCCGTTTATCGTACGTTTATCTGCAATGTCAACATAGGCACCT